AGCTGACGGAGGGCAGGCAGCAGGAGACGAGGAGCAGGATCCCAGCTTTGAACCCTCATCAGAGACAAAGGCTTCCAAAGATGAAAGCCAAGGAGAAACAAAGGGTATTCTGGAAGGTCCGTTCTTCTGCCCTCACTGCAGCGCTGAGTTCAAGTGCAAACAGACATTTCGCTTCCACCTGAGGAACATCTGCTACACGGAGCAGCAGGTGGATCCCGACACCACCGATGGAGTCAAGAGTTGTTTCCGGTGCGACGAGTGTGGCAAGGCCTTCAGATACAAGTCCACGCTGGAGTCGCACAGACAGACCCACAACCCGCTCTACTGTGAGGTCTGCACCAAACTGGTGCGAGACCCCGAGGCTCTGGAGATGCACAAACAGTCACACACTCCGTTCCAGTGTAACCAGTGTGACCAGAGCTTCCTGGTCTTCAAGGCCCTGCACAAGCACTACATCGACGTCCACAACCCCAGTGAGCCCTTCACCTGCACCCACTGTCAGACCACGTTCGCCAGCCTCAAGCGATTCATCCGCCATGAGTGGAAGCACACGGGGTACCAACCGTTCCAGTGCTCCTACTGCACCAAGAGGTTCAGGTCTTACTCTGACCTGGTGGAGCACCAGAAGAAGCACACCAAGGCCTACCCCTACCTGTGCTGGGAGTGCGGCAAGAAATTCAGGCACGGCGTGACGCTAACCAGACACGTGCAGCGCGTCCACAACACCGGTGAGCCCATATCAGAGAAACCCTTACCCACCTTCACCTGCGCCCAGTGTGGGAAGACGTTCACGTCCAGGAGGTGTCTCCTGAAACACGACAACTTCCACCACAAAGGCCTGCGCTTTCCCTGTGAGCACTGCGGGAAAGGATTCTTTGGTAAAGACGCGCTGGTGAGACACATTCTGATCCACACAGGGGAGCGGCCCTTCAAGTGTGACGACTGCGAAAAGTCCTTCAGGTCCTCGGCCGAGTTAAAGATCCACAGGAGGTACCACACTGGGGAGAGACCCTTCAAGTGTAACATCTGTGAGAAAGGCTTCGTCCAGTCCTGCTTCCTGACCCTGCACATGAGAACACACACCGGCGAGCGGCCCTACGTGTGCACGGTGTGTAACAAAGGCTTCTCCAGCTTACATGGTCTGAAGAGACACCGGAGGCTGGTCCACGCGTAGACCCCGTCAACCCAGGGACCTGCTGGACCTGGAGGAGGGACCAGACCAGCGTCTGCTGAGAGAGGACTGGACGTCTGCTGGTGAGCGAAGATTCTACATGGAGGACTGGACTCTTAGCTCGAACTGTGTATTTGTAAAGTAGTCGATCTAAAGATGTATCTTTGTATTTTTTACTGCAGTAGCTCTACTTCACCTTTGTACGGCTGATAATGAAGCACCTCTCCTCTGGGATGTTAACTCTTCTTTAATAAACCCTCACTTTGACTCCAGCTCTGATTTAGTTTTAATTCCTGCAGACTGACACTGCTGCCCCACCTGGCAGTGTAAAGAACTGTCTGTAATGTTGTTGCCTGTTTTACATTAATATTTCATAAAAATTTTGTTTTCAAAGGACTTTATTTCTAAAAAAAAAAAGTTTGAATTATCAATGCTCTGCTAGTTAAGTTAGCTCTACTATGTAAACCTAGGGTTGTGTGTGTGTGATGGGGTAGGAATGTGTCCTCAGAAACCTTTTTACGTTTTGAAATATAAATGGTTTCCAGGAAAAAAAACAGTCTCTTATTTCATGGCAATCAACTAATCACGTGCGGTCATGGGAGGCAGTGCTGTGCCTCACTTTTGACTGCGCGATCCAACACAAAATGGGTCCCATGACGCGTGCCCGTTTCTGTTCCTCAGCATATCGCCAATATTAACTTTACAATTTGTTCTACAGCCTCTCTACAGTCTGTGTAACGTCTTTATGTGTGAGAAAATAGTCCCTGTTGATCATACAAGAAAGTGCAGAGAAAAGTCAGCAGAGGCGGCAAACAGTACTCTGCCTCACCACAGGGGGGTCGTACGTGAACCGACAGGTGTTCTCCAGGCAATTTAAAGTCGGCGCCAAGCTAGAGCCGGTAGTAGGTGAAGAACAGCGTTTGTTATGCCCTGTCTGATCCGACTCACTGTGGATTGTATTTCAAGACGGAAACATTTCTCAAAACTGGACTTCCGGTCCAAACAGAAGGTGATAAGTGATGGAAGACCAACGCCGGAGCTAAAAGGTTAGCTTCAAACTACGGGACAGATTAGTCGTTCTTTTTGAATGGAGTGGTACAAACGACAAAAGACTGGCTGTGTGGCTGTCCTGTAAGAAACCGCCATTACTGCTGTCCTTGTCTGTTATTCTCATCGTGTGACAACGTCTGGACTAACTCAGGATACTGTGACCTGAAACATTTGGACTTCATCTATAAGTAAAGGTAAGACTAAAATGGTTTTAAGTTTTTGTTTTTTTTTTTAAAAAAAAGATAGGAGTAAGTAGAAAAAATTAGTATTTGATAAATAAATTTTTGGCTTCAATTTTTTTTTCCTATCAAATTGATAGACAACCTTTGATTAAAGCACCAGAATTTAAAGCTAAAGGTCAAAATTAAATTTGTGAATTTCTTAGACACAAGAAGGGGGCTCTGTCCATTTGTATAAAAGAAACGTTCTTTGTTTAACAAATATGTTCCTATGTATATGTTTGTGTTGGTGTCAGTGTCATTGAAAGAGGAATGTTGGTGGATATGAACCATTACCAGGTGACGCTGTTGGATCAATAGTAAAATAAGATGCTCTTTTCGGTTCTTACAATTGTAAATCGGTGCCTCAGCAGCCATGAACCTCGCCGCACGTCACTGCAATCAATTTGTGACAACATCTAAAGAACCAGGAACCTTTGGTAATGAAGCCACGTAAGAAGAAGAATTAGTCCAGAGGTATTATTATGAACACAGGAAATGAGTTCACGTTTAAGAGCATGTATTTCTACAGAAAGATGATAACTAGACAATCCGTCATTTGTACATAGGGTACGTCACAATCTTTAATTATCGGATGTGTTAGAGTTTGGCTCCCTCCGGTGGTTGTCAGAGGAATCCGATTTTTTTTTTCTGCAAATGAAGCGACAGAAACTACAGTGGTTTCTCTAAACTAGAACTGTGCAGCTGTCCGAATGATACTAAACCTAAAGTGAACCAGCGAAGCCGGGTGTAAATGTATGTTAATTTTAAATACAAAATGTAGAAAACGAATCACCCCAGATGGGACTCGAACCCACAATCCCTGGCTTAGGAGGCCAGTGCCTTATCCATTAGGCCACTGGGGCTCGTCGACATTAGCCCCGGCAATATAGAAATATCATAATGATGTACATATCAGATCGTTGTTTTACGTATCGTGTGAAAACAGTTGCCCTGGACAAGAATTCCGGGCCCACGCTTGCCAACGTCAGGCCCTCAGAGTCATGGGTAGATGTGTGACACGATAAAAACCGTATTTACAGGATCTAAAATCAAACCGATTTTACTGATGTCAATATTTCGGTTTGACAAAAGTGTGACAATAATTGTATGTATGACTGTTTATCTGTCACTGCGGTCCGTAAATATCCCTGAACGCCCCCCCCCCCTCCTCTCTCTCTTTCCCCATCAACGTTTCCTCTATGTGTCTCACTCTGGTTGTTTTTCCTTCCCTCTTCCTCTCACTCACAATCCAGAGTAGTCATGTTAGCCACTTAGCTCGCACAAAAACTACAGGAATATAAACATTGTCACTTTTTCTTTTGAGGATTTGCGTTTTCGTGTGAAAACATGAATTTATTACCATCGAATCCTCATGGGAACGGGCTCTTGTACGCTGGATTTAACCAGGATCACGGTAGGCATCACTTAATAGCTTCTCTTTTTTTCTAACGCTGTAGCGTTAGCATCACGGAGGCTTAGCTAATGTTGCTAACCTTACGTCTCCCTGGACAATTTAAATGTTTTCACCTATTTTATGGGATACAAAATAATGAAACATTCTTACCTATGCGCGTGTTAATATACGTAAGTGTTCTCATTAGACAGCAGTCAGCATGTTAGCAAGCTAACGTTGCTACCCCCAGTAGACTAGGTAAGGTTCATTTTAACAGCTGACAAACTAACTAACGCTAGTTTAATGGTCTTGGAAAGCTCCATGGCTAACGCAAACCCACGATGATGTCATTTACAAAAGTCAAATATTTTAAAGCAACATGAATTAAAAACAATGTTTAGCGCATTTGAGTCAACTTTTACATCCTCCTCTAGCGAGCTAACCACCTAGCATCGTATGCTATCTTTGACATAGTGTCATCGTGGATTTTGGCTTCTGTTATTTTGAAATTTAATAATTCTGTTTAGGCTGTATTTCTATCTATTTTTATTTATATATCACGCGGTGTTATGTAACTTAGCTTGTGCATGTACGTGCTTGTTAACGGTCCACGATGGAAAGGACTTAATTTGTTATTTAAAATAAAATACAATTTAATGCCTATGAAGATATTTTCAAATGTCCCTTGAATAAGATTGACTATTTGAAGAAATACAGCCTTACAATTGACCTTTGGCCTAAAAAAACGCAACATCTATAAACTTGCAGCAGCAGCTCCACAGCAGCACTAAAATCATTTCTAACAGCAGACAGTGTTATCGTGAATGATGTGGTTGATATGATCTGTTTATTTATTACTGTTGGTCAAATCAAAGCTTTGTTTTTTGTTGTTGTTGTTGTTTTTTCTGTTTACAAACTAGACCTAAACATTCTGAGGTAGTGATCAGTGTCAGTGATCTCTGTGAAGAGGTCAGTCATGTGACGCTGTCAGAGATTGGTGTCAGTTTGATGTAAACTCCACATTAATCATTATGTCTGCTCTGTTGGTGGCTGTTCAGTCCAAACTGCTGAAAACTGTAGAAGGAGTCAGGAGTCAGTCAGAGCGGGGGTGATTGTTGTTGTTGTTTCTCTCCAGGATGTTTTGCCTGTGGGATGGAAAATGGATTCCGTGTGTACAACACAGATCCACTCAAGGAGAAGGAGAAACAAGGTGAGAGTTTCTGTTCATCTGATTGTCTGTCCTGTTGTTGGGCTCTCAGCATAACAATAACACACCATCAAACACCAACTACTCCCTGTCAGACTGAGGTCAAGAGGTCATGACCTGGCGCCTGTAGATCTCGGAGGTGTTTCTGTGACATTCTGAGCAGGTTCAGTTCTTCCCAAGGTCCAGTTTTTGTTCTCTACAGGCCTGAAGATTTATTTTCAGCCAGTTTTACTTGAAACAGTAGGAGAAGAAGAGATGAGACGAGAAGGTTCTGTGACGTTCTACTGGTTGTTAACATCTGTCTTCATGATGGAGGACGCTCAGACGGTCCGTCAGTCTGGACGAGCACACAGTGCTGTGACAGAAATGTAACTCTGACACATGCAGGAGTAAAAGAGGAAACTGTGCATCTGTGTCAGCACATAGTCTGCTCCACACTCTCCTCCTGACATCCTCCTCCTCTTTGAGGGAAACTAAAATAAAAATCCTATTGTGTTTAGAAAAAGTCCCACCAGAATATAGAGAAGACAGCCGTGGACCAGGGGTGGGTGGGTTCTGCCTGTCCACATTAGCTTTAAATCGTGCTTAATGTCTCTGACGATAACCTCCTCCTCTCTTCCTCCTCCCTTCTGTCTGCTCCTGCAGCTGAACACCACCTCTGATGTGTGTGGGAGTAGTAAATTAGCCCATCATGTCTTTGATTCTGACCTCTGACCTTTTGTCTGACACTTTTGTTTTATTTAATCTGAACTTCCAGAGTTCCTGGAGGGCGGGGTCGGACACGTGGAGATGCTGTTCAGATGTAACTACCTGGCTCTGGTGGGAGGAGGGAAGAAACCCAAATATCCTACAAACAAAGGTGAGGAGCTGTTCATCTGTCCTTGAACCCTGGGCTCGTCAGTCAGGGTCATGTGATCATACAGCTTCACTCTTCAAACTTCTAACCCTTCTTCCCTCGGCAGTGATGATCTGGGACGACCTGAAGAAGAAGACAGTCATTGAGATCGAGTTCTCCACTGAGGTCAAAGCAGTGAAGCTTCGTCGTGACAGGTCAGGAGGAGGTGATGAGGAGTTCAGAAGACTGACACGTGAATGGACATGACCTCAAGCTGTGATGACCTGTAGGTCTGATTGATGAGTTCTCTCCTCCTCTCTTCAGGATTGTTGTGGTCCTGGACTCCATGATCAAAGTCTTCACATTTACCCACAATCCCCATCAGCTGCATGTGTTTGAGACCTGCTACAACCCCAAAGGTATGTATATATGTCTGTCTGTGTGTGTGTCTGTGTGTGTCTGTGTGTGTGTCTGTGTCTAACTCCTGCCTCCCTCTCCTCAGGACTCTGCGTCCTGTGTCCCAACAGTAACAACTCCCTGCTGGCCTTTCCTGGGACCCACTCGGGCCACGTCCAGATCGTGGACCTGGCCAACACAGAGAAACCTCCTGTGGACATCCCGGCCCACGAGGGCTCACTGTGCTGCATTGCTCTCAACCTGCAGGGAACCAGGATCGCCACGGCCTCAGAGAAGGTGGGCGGGTCTTCAGAGCAGAGCTGCTGCTGTTGACCAATAGTTGACTGAGTGTGTCCTTTATCATCACTCCCCTGTGCCAGTTACAGAGGACTGGTCTCCAGAGGTGAGACTGACCCGTGTGTGTGTGCGTGTGTGTGTGTGTGCGTGTGCTCCTCAGGGAACTCTGATCAGAATCTTTGACACGGCTGCAGGTCAGTTGATCCAGGAGCTGAGACGAGGGTCTCAGGCTGCCAACATTTACTGGTGAGTCAAGACCACCAATGCAGGTGTGACCTCACAGTGATGATGTCATGATGTGGTGACAACTTCTGAACTTGTCTGTCTCCAGCATCAACTTCAACCAGGATGCCTCCCTGATCTGTGTGTCCAGTGACCACGGCACCGTCCACATCTTTGCTGCCGAAGACCCCAAGAGGAACAAACAGTCCAGGTGTGTGCGTGGTTCTGGTCCTCACAGATTTGAGTTTTAAGCTGATCCTTCAATAAGTCAGTGATGAGTCAGTGATGAGTCAGTGATGAGTCATCAACCAGAGTTTCCTCTCCTCTCTCTCTTCCTCCCTCCTCCTCCTCCTCCTCCCCTTCCCTCAGTTTGGCCTCGGCCAGTTTTCTCCCCAAATACTTCAGCTCAAAGTGGAGTTTCTCTAAGTTCCAGGTTCCTTCAGGTTCTCCGTGTGTCTGTGCCTTTGGAACAGAACCGAACGCTGTCATTGGTCAGTTCCCTCCCCCGCTGTCCCCCTAATTACTGTCTTATTTCAGATTTGGGTGTAATTTGACCTTTATTAACCTCTGAACTCTGACCCCCTCAAACCCCCCACAGCCATCTGTGCTGACGGCAGTTACTACAAGTTCCTGTTCAACCAAAAGGGGGAGTGCTCACGGGACGTGTACGCCCAGTTCCTGGAGATGACCGATGAAAAGATTTGACCTTTGACCTGTCTGCAGACAGACATTTATTCTTGACTCTTTTTTTTTTGACATTTTAAAGAGACTGGATGTCTGTCCTCTGTCTCCTGGGATGGAAACACACACACACACACACACACTCACACATGTTTTTGAGACGTCTTCCGAGGACTTGATCTTTTGAGGAGGTAGTCAGTCACCAGTCCTCTGTGGAACCCAGAACTGTTGAGAGTGAAAGAACTCAAAGAAGACAGAACTGTTCTCTGTCAGCCACTGTCTCTGCTCCATGAAGACCATGGAGACTCTCCAGGACGTCCAGGCACTGATGGAACTGTTTGTCTCCACCGCTGTGTGTGGGACCAAAGAGCAGAAACACTGGGAACTTGGTAGAACTGTGCAACGCAGCAGAAGCTCCATGAAGACCATGGAGACTCTCCAGGACGTCCAGGCACTGATGGAACTGTTTGTCTCCACCGCTGTGTGTGGGACCAAAGAGCAGAAACACTGGGAACTTGGTAGAACTGTGCAACGCAGCAGAAGAAACACACACTAGGTCAGACAACATCACCTCCTTCATCTGCTCCTCCTCACTGACTGAACTTTGACCCAGACTCCTCTCCTCCTTCATCTGATCCTGATGCTGTACTGTGAAAGTACTAGTACTTGTTGGTTTGGACTCATCAGTGTGAGACAGGAGAAATGTTCTGGAGACCACTGTAAGATCAGGATCTGGCAGATGGTCTTCTCTGTGCATGCGTGTGTGTGTGTGTGTTTGTGTGTGTGCCAGCACCAAGAACTAACGTGCATCTTCTGTGGACAAAAGAAAGGAACACGTCTGGAACTGATTCTCTTTGAACAAACAAATCTGTAAAATATCTTTGTTTTGTTTTTCTCTTGATTTATCTCTGACCGCTGCAGTCTCTCATCTGGGACTGTAGATGTCGCACTTCCCTCACCACTGCTTAGTTTACCACAACTTGAGATCCGTTTCCTTCTAAAAACGTCACTTCAGAACGTTTCTTTTCTTTTCCTTGTGCAGCTTGATTTTCTAAAGCTTTGATTCATTGTTTGTTTGTTTGTGTTTTTCCAGTCACATCTCTGTGACGTCAGATACCGTCCTTCGGTGCGCGGATCGTTTCAGACGATAAAAAAAATCTGGGAATACTTGGTTCTTTAATAGGGACTGAGAGTTTGGTTCTGTGTAAACGTCCTGCACGAATACACAGAACGTTGATGTAAATGTGTAAATGCGTTGCAGAGTTTTTTTTGTTAAAGTCAACATCACCATTGTTTTTACTTTTGTTGTTTTCACCTACAGATGTCGCTTGAGTTCAGAAAACAATCTAAAAAGCCAATGTAATTCTGACTAAATGAGAACGATTGTTAAACTAATTTTTTAATTTGTGAATAAAATATATCTCTTACATATTTACTTTATCTTTTCTGTATTTGTGCGAAACCAATTTACTGCCTGTTGTTTGTTTTCACGACCAAATAACGTGGTTTGTTGACCTGAACAGTACCAGAATCACTCGCTTATGTTTCATTATATTTATTAGGGCTGGGAGAAAATCGATTCACCTAAGAATCGCAATTCTAATCGTCTACGATTCTGAATCGTTTCATAAACTTCAAAAATCGATTTTGTTTTAACGTTGCCTCCATCTCTTTGCGCGCCCTTGCGAGTTTCCGTACGCAACTTCCGGCAAGCAAGTCTCGCTATGAAGCGAGACATTTAGGATTTGATCATGTCCCTGTGAAAGAGTAGTCATTCGGTATGCAAGGTTTGCTAAAAAGTATTTTGGAAATACTACAGTTACTCGGGCACACATCGCCGATGAATGGAAACTAACGCTAGCTTTGGTGATTGTTACAGATAACGTTACTAACATGTTTGCTGCGGCACAGATTTGACACATGTCAAGTTCTTCGCACAAAGCTACTCTAAACCTCGCTGCTCAGCGACCTCTGAAGTTAAATTCACCGGATTCTTCCACCACCGCAGCAGCATCGCTGCTCATGCCCTGCAGGACAAACCGAGGCTCCTGCTCCTGCCGCCACACACATTGAAACCTGACGTCTCTACGCTCTGGAATAGCGCGTTCGAAAAGATCGAAGGATTTCTGGAGCAACAGGCAGCTGCAGTATTTGTGCCGCTCTCCTCTCTCCACAGGTGAGTCGCTGTGGTAGCTGGTTGTGTGTTTAGGAATGAGCAGCTTTATAATGTACTAAAGCTTTTATTTAGGCTATTTTAGATATTGAGAGAAGATTAATTTTTGCAATACCTTGAACCTGTTCTTGTAATCACTGAGAATTTATTTCTGTTTCTGTTTTGAAAGGGGGAAAAAAGATTCCTTTAACGCTTCTTGAGGGAAGAGAGGATGGAGTTTATGTACCAATAATCCGAAGTTCTGGTAAGTAAAATGATTTAGTCTTTCTTATCATGTTGTCATTTTACTATGTTGTGACTGATGTGTTTGATGATTGCGACAGCTGTGGTTGAACTGCTGCGGGGGTTTGTTGCTTCAGTAACGGCCTGGGTTACCTTGGATGTAACGTCTGTAATGTTGAAGGTTTCTAAAGACATTATGAAGTAATTTGGAGTTATTGACACAGGACTTCAACGAATTCCTTAATGTGAAATACATGGCACACTACTGCGATAAGCTCACCTGAAACTTACTGACGTTGACGACTTGAAAGAAAATAGTCTATAACGCACTGTTATAGTCTATTTTCTGATGTGCGCCAGAAAACGGCAGCCTCTTGTTCACTGAAGAAGGTTCCAGGTTCAATACCAATTAATTCTCACAACCCAGTGATGGTTTTGTCAGGAAGGTCATCAGGTGTAAAGACCCATGTGTTCCTCCTGACTCGTGTTCCTTTCCATTTCCTCCCTAGGGTTGGAAACGCAAAGAAACCCAATTGTCTTTCTTTGCCCAACCCTAACTCCAACCCTAACCATCTGTGTAGGTTCTCGGTCATCTCAGTCAACTTATCCAAAAATACACTAGTTACATCGAGGGTAACTGGACGGAGTAGGTTTCTTGAAGATGTTTCACCTCTCATCCAACCTACTCCGTCTCATCCCTAACCCAAATCTACCGTTTTGATTAATTTTTTGTTTAATCTGGTTGCCATGGTGACGTATGGTGTTTGGTTACGTGGGTGGGGTAGGTGGAAGTTTTAGCATTTATAAGGCCTGAAACGCATGTATTCAGGCAGAGTTACAGTAGCCGTTAATTTGTTCACGGCTTGTTGACACATTCACAAACCGTGCACGTTTACTGTGTGTGTGTTTCTATGAACTGTCCTGAAACTCACCTGACTCAGTGCCTCACAGTCTAACTCTCAGGTCCCAAACACTGGTTTTAATTTGACGTTCTAAAAGTGGATGTCCTTTTTGTCACAGTTTTCGTTTTCAGATTTTTGTCTCAGAGATTGACTTTGAACAGAACAGAGACAGACGTCAGAGTTTGGAGATATTTACTTAAAGAAATCATTAAAAAAAAGTTTGTCTTTAAATAAAAGTGTTAAAAAATGAACCATTTTTTCCTACTGAATCAGAACAAACAGCCGTCACTGTTTTTTTCTCCTTTCACATACAATCTGAAAAGAATTTAGTCGCAGCCTGAACAGGACAAAAATAAACACAAAAATATACAAACAATAACAAAAATACTGAAAAAGTACAAAAATGTTTTAAAAAAAACCCAACAGAACAAAAGGTAAGTGCAGCTGATCTGAGAAGTGCTGAGTCAGCGCGGCTGCAGTCTGACGTTTCTTCACTTTAATCTGCTCTAAACGTGTGACATGCTAAACTGCAGGAAGCAGACCATCACATACACGGGGAGGAAGGGGTGAGGGTGAGGGAATATAGACTTTTATTTCATTTGAATATTTTGTTAGATATGAAAAGTTGAACAGAAAAGTCTGGAGACGTACAGTGACGAGGAAACGACACCCAGCTCCACAGAACATAGTGGAAACGACACCCAGCTCCACAGAACATTAGAACCGACTTTAGAACAGTGTCCACAGAGAACACACACACACACCAGCCCCCCCACCTTACCCCTCCATATACAAACACAAACAAAAAAATGTTTCATGTCGATTCATTTTAAACTTAGTTTAATCACCAGACAGAGCTGGACGGACACACACACACACACACACACTCGGTTCCTCGTCTCTGTGGTCTCTCTGTGGACAGTGACTGTCATAAATAACTGTAGTTTTTATTCAACACCAGATTCAGGTAGACGGAAGTTCCTGGACCACGACTCTGGACCTTCAGTCTCCGACCAGGTTTTGGACATGTGTTGTTGGTCTCACATTATTGAAAAAAAAAAAAGTGTGTGTGTGTGTGTTCAGGACCATTCCGTTTTCTCCTCATCGTTTGGCACCTTGTAGCAGATGGAGGTGATAAAAATGTGAGGGGGGAGCAGGGCTCAGGATCAGGTGGGAGGGGCTACTGATCTCCTGCCTGTTCACTGACCCCACCCTCTGCCGTGGCTCTGTCCATGGTGCTGTTGTTGTTGTTACGGTCTGACGCCTCCTCCTTCTCCTCCTCTTGTGTTTTCGCCCTTTTAGATTCGGGCTGCTCCTGCAGTTCTCCATTCTGCCTCTTGGTGGGCAGAGATGCAGAGGCTGAGGCGTGAGTCGCCAGCAGGTGGAGCGGGTTAGCAATGCCTGTAGAGTAACAGAGTTGTCAGGCAAAGTATTGATGAGCGGGCAGAGGTCGTAGGTCAGGCCAAATCAAGTTAATTCCTTTTTTTTTTTCTACCTGTGGCTATTTTTTTTTCTAATTTTAGCTAACTGTTAGCTATAACATTTAGTTGCATTTTATGTCATTAGCTATAATCGTACTACATGTTTTGCTAACATTTACAGATTTCTGGTGTGTCCGTCACCTGTGCTGGCAGCAGTACTGGTACTGATTGGTACCAGATGAGTTCCATTCTGTGTGATGGCCTTAATGGGCAGCTGGTGCTGACCTAGTGGAGCCTGCTGGACGATGGTGACTGTGGTCAGAGGTGCAGGCTGAGAACTCTGGATGATACGACTGACGCCCCCTAAAGACGAAGCCGTGATGGTTGGAACCGGATCCATTTGGACTGCAGCAGAACAGGACCGTGGATCAGACTCCAGAATCCACAACACAACTCAGTGACCAGAACCTGGGGACCTACCTTTGAACTCCTTGTGTTCTCCTCCGCCGTTCTCCTGAGTTTCTTTACTCAGTGTGGCGGTGGGCTGAGTACCGATAGCCAGAGCGGGAATCTGATGGACCACATGCACCGTCTGCATGACTGGGGTGGGGCTAACGGTGGTGGTGACGATAGCAGGCGTGGCCACAGCATAGGTCACAGGTTTGATGGTTGTTTGAGGAACCTGTCGCTGCACAGCGATCAGAACCGGTTGGTTGTTCAGCTGGGAGCCTATCAGAGAGCAGAGGGGCGGAGTCAGGGCCATTTACAGAGCTCCAAAATAAATAATAAATTTAAATAAGCCGCAGTTGTTTTACCGGAGGAATTCTGAGAGAAGCGGGCCTCCTGGATCACAGCCAGTTTGGGCTGGACTGTGGTGGTGTGGACAGGAACTGCAGGAGCTGTGGGTTCTGGTTCCATAGGGACTGGAGAACCTTCTCTGGACAGACTGTCCGGGGTCTGGACTCCACTGGAGTGTGCAGACAGAGCCCCCATGTGGTTAGGAGAGGCGGGGGCGCTCCTGAGACAGCAACAAAACCAAAGCTGTTAACAATTAGCATTACCTTTGTTTTTTCTACTTTTAGATACACTTTACTGCTTGCTAACGTCTAGCTTCTTTTTAATATTTTGCTATGTGTTTAACCTAACTATTAGCTTTGCTAACCTTTAGCTGTCCTCTAGTTTAAATAGATGAGGTGAGGACAGGCTTGTTAAAGAGGGTTCAAAACAGACGTGTGGAGGTTCACCTTGAGGACAGCGGCCCCACTGGTGTCCTGAAACATGGAACTCCTCTGGGCCGTCGTTTCCTGAAGGCCTGTTCTATCAGCTTCCCCTCTGAGGCTGGATCGATCCGCCAGAAGGAACCTTTTCCTGGTTCTTCCTGAGAACGAGCCACTTTGATAAAGTACCGATTCAGGGACAGGTTGTGTCGGATCGAGTTCTGCCCCAGAAACAAATCAGCAAGAAAAAACGTTTTAGGCGTCAGTTTGACTTTGTCCCAGTGTCCCTGAAGAGGAAGAAGGTGAAGAAGATTAACCAGGATGTGTTTCCTGTCTGTGAGCCAGCACCGACCTGCCAGCCTTTATCTGCCGTTCTGTAGTAGGGGTAGTTCTTAGTGATGTGGGTGTAGATCCCATTTAGCGTTAGCTGTTTATCTGGAGCCATGGTGATGGCCTGGACTATTAACTGAGCGTAGGAATACGGAGGTTTGGAGTCGTCCTGCAGACAGAAACAAACAAACAAAACACAGTCAGTGACAAAAAGGTCAAAAAGATCAAACTGACTCTGGTTGACGCTCCCTCACCTTTGGACTGTCTTCACCTGAGGCCTCTTTGTCATTTTCTGATTGGGAGTTGTCTCCTATGAGGTCAGAAGTCAGAACCCGACCTGTCCTGTAGCTGGAAAGGCCCGCCCCTCGTGGACTTGATGGACAGGAGTTTGCAGCACTGTGAAAAATGGACATTTTCTCTTCAGAGACGTTTGTGTTCTGGTGTTTGTGGTTGCTTTAACTTAGAGAAATTTACAGACGCTTCCTAAAAAATGTTTTAAATTTTCAGGACCCGCACTGGTAGTGGATCAGACTTGGAAGGATCTACTTTACAAAGGACGAACCCTTGACCTTGAAAACTATGTAAAAACACCAGTACTTTACCTACTGTCTTTGAACACCTCATGTGGAGGCTTTTTGTTGATATTGAATTTTACAGTGTCCTTAAAGGCCTCAGGTCCATTAATGGGTTTCATTTAAGAATCTTCCCCATATTATTTAGCCAATACTATCACTGTGCACCAGTAGATGGAGTCTCTGTCTCACCTGAGGGTGCCGGTCGGTGAAGGTATGGGACTCATGAAGTGGGCGATGTTGTCAGGAATGTTAATAGTCAGGGGGGATATCTGGGGTTGGACCGGCTTCACCGGTGATTCCGGCACGTTCCTTGGTTCCTTCTTTTCGGCAGAGAGGGCAGTGAAGGTGATCTTGATGCTGGTGCTGGGGAAGCGGAAACAGCACCTGAGAACACAGACATCCATGCAGCGTTTAGGTGGAGGAATGAGGAACAAATTATGGTTTTTAACAGCGTACTTGCCCCCGCGTCCTGGTGCAGACTAGTCAGCTGCCTGTGGTAATCAGGCCAAGGTCTGAGAGAGTCCCTGAGAGGGGAACTCACATTCATTCTCACAGTTTAAAAATGGACGCTCGTTTCTAATTTAATATTTCGGGTCTGCTCCAGCTGCTCACACATTAATGCATTTCTAATATGGTGGGTGTGAGGGGGTGGAGGGGTGGGGGCGTTAAAGCAGAGTAAGCAGCTGAAATATGAGCAGAAACAAAGACAACTTGACATGAAGAGTGTAAACACACATTAACTTCTATAGCTGCTGGTGCAACATGAACGGTTTCTGGTACTGATTACATAACAGCCATTCAGACACAGTCTCTCAGGTCAACACAGCAGCACGTGTGCACTCAGAGCTGTGTATGTGTCTGCATCCCGGGGTCCAGTAACAATATGGTACATTTATGTATGACTTTTTTCTGACGTCATAGCTTTGTTTTTTCCCCCAAATGGCGTTATATCAGATGATGTCATCAAGTCTGTTAAAGATGACGAATGTGTCGGCTACATTACGTCCAACAACATCAGACTACAGTTTGGACGAGTATAAACTTGTTTGTTTACCCGGAAGTCAAAACACTGGCCCACACTTGTGCTTTGAATCATAGACGATAAAGTGGTGAAAAAGAAAAAAATGTACAAAAATAGTAAAGTATAAATAAACAGGTATAGTTTGCTGTTGAATAGAATTATCATAAAGCCAAACGTTGAAAACCGGGCAACAGTGAATCGATACTTAAATACTACTTAAATCGTGACACTGGCTCTCAATGTAGCCGTGTACGGATACCGAAAAAAATTAAAGAACCGAATTTGTATAAACAAACAAACAAACACATTGGTCATACGTAAGGTACGTATGTAGTTTCAAGCAATTGTACGATACAATGTACATGGTTTACTTGGTGTGACGCTTTCTCTGCACGTCTCAACACGTGCGACGCCGCCGCAGGGAAACAAAACAATAACAACACACGAGGTCAACAGAATGTCGATTTCCTCGGATTAATATCAATTTTAAATGTAAGTGTGCCCAGGCCAGATGTTGTTCTTACATTCGTGGCAGCTGCAGAGGTGGAGCCCCTCTCCTCTGGAACACCCCATCAACAAACACCCCGTTTTTTCCTAAGCAACGAAGGTAGAATTCGCCGGTACCGGTGCCGTCCTCTCCTGCTGTGAAAATCTCGAGGTGCCGCCGAGAGATGAAGCTCGAGTGTCCCATGCTGACATCCACCGAGCCCTGTGATGAGTTTCGGCCGATGGTCACCGACCTCTTCTTCATCAGGTACTCGAATTCCCGGCCCTCTAGCCGGGCTACAGCCGGCCCGGACATCCCGCTTACAACCGCCATCTTCTGCTGGAGCTTTGCGTAAGAGAATGCGTGTAAAGCGCAGGCGTAAGTAACACTGCCGGGATTACAGGGGCGGGATGTGTTTTCAATTTAGGTAATTTAGCCGAATTGGGGGATCCAAAATTTTCACGTTAAAGAATATGGCCAGGAACGTGCCAGACCGGGGACACAGCGGCTCCCCCCCCCCCCCGCCCCCGCGGACGCCAGAGGCGGGCGCCGG